CAGCGGGCGGACCCGTGGCACCTCAGCAAATAGACCGCGAGCTTACTGATCGGAATGTCCATTTTTCTAATCCAACCCCTGCATCTTGACAGCTTCTATCTATCTAGGCTCAGGTAACCTGAACGTATTTCAGCCCTTGTACTTCCTTCGGTGGTACGACAGCTGAGCACCGAGAGGATGTTACAGAGTAAAAATTTTATTAGATTTTTTTTATATGTTAGCAGAAAGCTTCAAAGCTACAATGCACTTGTCACCAGGACTCCTATTAGTGGAGTGTCTTATGTCATCCAAGTGGTTGATACGTTGTTTCACATGTACGCTTGTCTGACGCTTGATATCATCCCATTCTGTTGTGCTCGAAAGTGAGCACTTTTTCACCCTAAACATTCTCCCAAATTCATCTTCGATATTTCATCGTCTCTCTGTTTAAGTTCACTTTTGTTGGTGACCAGGGGGCATGTTGACCATATCAAGTTTCAATAATTGAACTGAACGCCCCATTCGTTAGGTAGCTAGGTGAACACAACAAAAAGCGAACTTTTGTTAGTGCCTGTCAGACTCATTGAAAAGCATTGCTATGTTAACATGTTAGACTTTCGATGCGACCTGATAATTATCCCATGCAGCGACATTAATTGTTCCCCTTTTGACTACAGTTTGTTTCAGCTCACTCGTCTGAACTATGTCTGCAGGCCTTCGTGTCCTTGTCGGATGTAAACGTGTTATTGACTATGCGGTGAAAATTCGCGTGCGGCCAGATGCTACTGGTGTTGTCACAGAGGGTGTGAAACACTCAATGAACCCGTTCGACGAGATCGCCGTTGAGGAAGCCATACGAATGCGAGAAAAACAACTTGCGGCCGATATTTTAGCTTTCAACTGTGGATCTCCAAAAGGTCAGGATGTGTTACGTGTTGCGCTAGCAATGGGAGCAGATCGAGCAATACAAGTTGAAGTTGATGATCCAATTAGCCAAAAGTTGGAGCCTCTGCACGTTGCCGAGTTACTGGAGAAGATTGTCAAGGAAGAGAAGGTAGATATTATCCTCCTACTGAGTATAGCCATCGAAACGTTTAGAATGAGTTGGGAGGGAGTCCGAGTTATCTTGTCTTAGAACAAGCATGAATGAGTGAAAATGTACTTACAAAAATTTAATGGCAGTACACAGTTGATTATAGTAATAAGCTGACAACAGTCATGTGGCCTAGTGTAGTTTTTTTAATGCGCACCTGCCCCGTGAAGTGGTTCTGGAGCTGTCAGCCATCTACGTTTTGAGCCACAACTGTATGGGGTTTTATTGAGTCCACGTCTCGATGTGTTATTATGAATTCACGTGCATGTTAGCTTCACTCCGTCTCACATCAGTTTCGTGAGCCGCCCGACACCTCACTACACCACCACCCTGTTAAATTCTTACATGTAGTTTGGATCCCGATAGTCAGAATAATTCTTGTCGGAAATGACATCGCCATTGTTCTGTTGGTTACATTAGGAATGGACTTTCAGTACTACTCATAATGTCGATGAAGGCTCCGGGCACTTAACTTCCACCTTTGTCCTCGAGCTTCATCAAGTAGACTTGTTCCTCGAGCCCCATCAACCTAATTATTATTTATTTATTTAGTTTTATTCATCTGGTAGCACCTTTCAACCAAGTAACTTCTCCCACGATACCTTGTTTTGGATGGGTACCCTGTTCAGAGCGGAATTCTTGAAAGAGGGAACAATTTTCCATGAACAGAACCATGAACCATCGAATACCTCTTGGTATAGACACCGTGCATAAGTGAACGTCCAATCAAAAATCAGGTATTACCCGGACCTTTTAACTTGATCAGCGTCCTATGATTAGACAGTATTGAACTCCATGGCCTATGGTGAGTTTCACTCAGCACTGAAGGAAGCAAGCGTTCATAGCTGATTAGGCTTTATCGGACCGCTTTAATCCAGCGTCGACTGATGGTGACATCTGATCAGCTGAGCTTTGTTCGCTCACACAAGCCACTTCAAACGAGTACCTGATACTGCGCACCCTTCAGCAGACAACGGGTGAAACCACCCTATCATGCGCTCCGTGTGATAACGACTGCCCTGTACATTTGTGCAAACTCACCACTTTGGCTTGCTGGAGACAGATATGGGTTAGAAAGTTCCAATGTTAAAAACTGTACTATTGTGATAGCAATGGATGCTGTTCGCACTCATTCTTTTCGACTAAGTAAATAAAGAATTCCACCCTCGATAACCTAATCATGTGGTTGCGTGAACTAATCAATCGCCACCACCACCCCCAATTAAATTCATCCTTCCTTGAGTTCGTAATATGGAGGCCAGGTAGTACTGTATATGTGAAAGCACTGCTTCGCGTTTTGAATTGATTTCATATCCCCTGTGGAAGGACTTGTTCGCACCAATGGACGACTCTGCCCTGTTTTTTCTTTGGAGGGGAATCACTCTACAGCATTGTGTATGTCATGAAGAACAAAGGGGTCCGCTTCCACACCCCATCCTTCGTAGGTTCCGAACTACCCCCACTGTCCCTGTCATTACTGTCTTGCTTACAATGGTGCCGTCTCACCCAATTGGAAACCGGGATTCCAACATTCAAATGCGTTTTTTTTTCACTGGGTCTCTGTGTATTTTCATAGGTGTCAAGCAGTGGAACAGAAACTGAATGAATCTGTTCTACGATGTTACTACTGATTATGCTTCGTGAGCAGTGGTGAGGATATCCATGGGGCCGACTCGTCCGCTTGCAGGAGAAAATCATTGTTTGGTGAAAAATTAGAGTTTCCCATCTATCGTTAAGTTGCTAAAACGGATCAATAAGGTGGTCAATTGATCTATTTGCTGGACATGTGTTACGTATGCCGAACCATCGTTTGCCGAAGAGAGTACTGTTTTCCATGCCCAATTCGGAGTGGCGTAAACAGAGAGGTGGCCAACCCTTGACCTGGCAGAGGAGTATGAAGGAGATCACGAAACGTTTGGGTGCTGTCGGTGCTACTCGCCTTTCAGGATGGGGACCGCGTGATCCTCACTGTGCCTGGTTGGAGGCACTACAAGATATGGCTGCCAACCGATATCAGTGGCGTTCTTGTTGTCAGTTTCTATCCAGACTGTCTGAGTGAATGTCTGCAGGTGTAGGCACCTCGGAATGATTGTGTTAAGCTAGCACTAAGTCCCTCCCCCATCCACCTTTATTCTTTTCTTTACAATAAGGCTTTCAAATAAATCATGGTTGTACGGCAGTGAAGCATCGGTGTTGAACACTGATGTCATGTTGTCGATGATGATGATGATCTGTTTGCTTTTATTGCCGGGCCATAACGAAGTTCCCGGCTAGTTAGCAAGTGTTACACCAAACTCCTTGCTATAGAATGGGTAAGATTGAAAAAAAATCTCACATTCAGCTTCGAAAGAATCTGCCTCGTAATGACTGCATTCTGGTTGCTCGGCCGGGTGCCCCGGCCAGTAGCGCTTCTGCATCAACGTTACTGTCTTTATCAGGGCATTCTAACATATGAAGTGGTACGATCATCATCCCTAATATGTGATCGTCCCAATAAAGTACACTGTCTATATGGCTGACTAACTAAACTTGACGCGAAGGCAGTGTGCCGGAATGGGAGTTGTCTGGCGGATAATTGACAATTGGGTGCAAACAAACCAAATTTACGGTTGGTCGGCTATATTGAGATTAACTCAAGTTGAGTATCTCTTTGTGTACTCTGTTCAATGTGAATTTTCCACAGGGATGGTTCTGTTGTCTCAGATCGGAGAGGGTAAAGTTTATGTAATTTATTCTGATGGTTTCTGCCGTGCCTATAAAGTGACGTTGGTGCGATGCTTGAATTAAGAGCATGAGTTTTAAACCGGTTAGGTGACCGAAGCCTGATACGCCCGTCCAATTGGTCTCGCTTAATATATGACGCGTAATGTACCGCTCCCCCCGGGATCACTCCCCCGCTTGGTGGAATTGTCAAGTATTTCGTTGCGGATTACCAGACCTGTAATTACTCCCATATTTGATCAGTTGACTCCAGCAATTTTTGAAACTACGTGTAATCGTGAGAACACTTTGTTCTCCCTTTCGCAGATCGACTTAGTGCTTTTGGGCAAGCAGGCAATCGACAACGACGCAGTTCAAACTGGGCAGATTTTGGCCGCTCGACTCGGATGGCCCCAGGCTACTTACGCGTCTAAAGTAGGTGTATTGCTTCCAAACCTCCGCCTAATCCTACCGTCTTCCACCCTTGTCGCTTTACCGCCCCACCCCCTACCCTCTGTTTGTGTCATTTTCAGTAGCCAGCGGATCTACTGACCCCCATTTCTACTCTCTAACCACTGTGTTCCAGGCTTGTTATGATTGTTGTGGCATAATCACTGATGAACATGTTGAACAGTTCTGCTCTATGCATTGACGGGTAGACGAATTTGGTAATTTGAGCCGACAGTTCCACACGCATCTCACTGAGTAAGCCGATCAATTACAAGGTTCGCGTTCCTGTCTAGTAGCATGTAAGCCCTCCGTGCTGTCAGTCTTTCGGTCTGCCTTTTCGACAGTCTGCGCTTTCCCCAACGTCCTGTCATCCATTTCAGACAGTGCAAAGTCAACAGCCTAATTCACACTAACCTTTTTTGTGTAGACGATCGTCTGTAATTCGCTTCCTGTTGGTAGCATTCCTTCAGTCCATAGCTGCGGTTTCTGGGTCGCATGGGAGCCAGTCAAATTGATTTTATGTATGTGTATATACCTTACTATGTTCTGTGTGGCATATACTCTATAGGTATTGTCTATGGTATATATTTATAGCTATATTTGTAACCTCGGTCTTCAAAACACGTCTTCTGAGGCATGGATTGTCTGTTGTGAATTTCGTAAATTACCATTTTGGTTAGTCACCTATCGTGTGATGTGATTTTAGTGTTGGGAGTTTTTTTTCGGGTACACTCGGCGCCGACAAAGCAACCAGAAATTTCCCTAGTACATGACACTTGCTGTAGAGTCAAGGAGGGCAAGATGGTTGAAGCGCGAATTTGCTGACCGGAAGGTCCGTAGTTCGAACCCGACCTCGGCTTCTCCACTTCCCCTATCTAGGCTTGGGCAACCTGACAGTACCCCAGCCTTTGTGCTTGCTTTGGATGGCACAGCAGCTAGGCACCAGATGGGTGTTACAACTGAACGATTTTTTTGCAGAGTCAAGACTCGGACTCTGAATTCTCCATTTACTACTCATCCCATGTGTCCTCAGTGAAATGGTTTTGATGCATCACCTTCCCTGGGTTTCGGATGTCAGTGATGAGTGACGCTAAAAGTCGTGAAACAGTCATGTGAATGTCACTGATGGGCGTGGATTCTTGATTGATTGACCGAATGGTGAGTGGACACGCGTAGAGCGAAAAGTCTGAACACATCGTGTTGGTATTTGATAGTCAACGATCCGGTGAACCAGCCAACACCGCTTGATTGGTGTGCAAGTTAGTGCAACTATTAATCAGTCACTCGTGGCCGAACACCGACCTAAATGTCGTGAGCTTGAATCTCCCCATCTCCACACCGAGGTGCATACTTTTGGTAGTTTCCATCAGGGATGCTTCTTGGCTATTCGGAATAGATTGGTTTCATATGCACTATGGAACCTCTGTTGAATGTTTAGAGCAACAGCAACTGTCTTCCAGACAACTGAAGCGTCATTATTTGATCATGTGACTTTTGAAGAGGATGATGAGCACCTGCTTCTCATCTTCGTAGACACTGTTGTCGTGAACTGGTCGATTCCATGATTCACTTAAGGCATGCGGATTGTGTGGTGTATGCTCATCGTTTAAAATTCAGCTAAAGCTATGGCTACGTTTGGACCGCGTGTATAACCTCCCACGGTAATCCCGATTCATCGTTCGGCTTTGGCACCCTTTCGGTGCCCAACTACCCGACCACCCGAAGGAAGTACGAGGGCTGGGATACCGACAGGTTGCCCAAACCTAATAATAATAATAATAATAATAATAATAATAGTCCTTCAGCTGTAGCACCCTTTCGGTGCCTAGCTGCCATGCCACACGGAGGCACGAGGGCTTGGATACTGCCAGGTCGCCCAAGCCTAGACAGGGGTAGTCGAGAGGCGGAGGTCGGGTTCGAACCACGGACCTTCCGGTCAGTAAATTCGCGCTCTAACCACTTGAGACATCTCGCCCCCGATCCACCCATGGTTAACGTTTGTAGTCGCCTACTTTGACTGCACGATTGCTGGTATTTATCCACTCGTCATCCAGTTAGTCGGTTGTGTAAATGGTTCAGATGGGTCAAACATCCCCCATGGCCGCACGTCCGACAAACTCTTGTTTACTTGATCGCCTGGAAACTAAGAAGCAGTGGACATTGGGTATCATCCGTTAAACCTAGGAGACAGTTTAGATAAGTCGGTCTATCACTTCTATTCATTTTCACATTACCGTCCTTACGCATGCATTGTTATTTCTTTACTTCTCTTCACCCACTTTGTTTAAAGGTTCCGCTATATGTCAGAGAAAGTGCCCGTACAAGTTAAAAGTGGTACACATTCAAGAAATTGAGATTGATGCCCCTGTCTAGGCTTGGGCGACCTGGCAGTATCTCAGCCCTCGTGCTTTCTTCGGGTGTCATGGCAGCTAAGCATCGAAGGCTGTTACAACTGAACGGTTTAGTTCAATTGATTTTTGAGATTCATGCCGAAATGATTCGGACTATCTACCAAGTTGGCTGTATCTGGCCTTCAAGGTCACATTCACTGACCAGTCAAGATGGTCTTTTTTCCTTCAAACGGTCGAGTGCATTGCTTGGCTGCGCATACCATTCTTTGAGATATTTGATTCAGCAGTTTGGCCGTTCGAGGCACTGGCTCTGTGTGGAAAGCTGTGTATTTAATCGGTAGTGTATTGTAATAAAAATGTGTGTAGTTGACTCTGTTGAGCAGCAGAGTTAGACGTTAGTTCCACCTGCACTAGTTCCGTTTGATTTCGCCACATTATACTATCTGGAACGGTAAGATGCAGTAAGACGGCCTGGCAAGAAAGTACGTAGCATTCTGGGATGGAATGCGCTTGTGGTACTTTCGTATGCTGCAAGGACTGTATATCGCAATGTTGTCCGGTGTGACGGGATAGTATTGTTGTCCAGTGAAGCGCTTCAGTAAAACCCCAGCCACGAGCCACATTGGCCTAAACTGCCTTAAGAATGCGCAATCCTCATTTCCACACATATTGATGGTTGATGACCAATGTGAGCGTTAAATTTTCCTCTCTCTCTCCATTTTCACCCGTAGATTACCAAGGACGGCAACTCTCTGATTGTCGTACGGGAGATCGATGGTGGCTCCTCAACAGTGAAAGTCAAGTTGCCCGCAGTTGTGACGGTCGATTTGCGGTTAAATCAACCCCGTTACGCCACTCTACCTAATATCATGAAAGTGCGTTTCGTCGAGAAATCCTTAGGGGTTCCTTCGGTGTTTGCCCTATGATGGTTTTCTTTTTTCAGACTCAATCTAAAATGGATTCCCACAAAAATGGGTATTAAGGGTGACCAAAACTACCGCAGTGCATTGTTCCGTGCTTCGAACCAGCGTTCGGGGATTCCTCTTGATATCGAAGCTTTCTAGGCTTTCGGTCCACTAGATCTCCTCTTTTCATATTGCCAGCAATGACGATTAGGCAAAACCGCGCCTCTTTATTTCTAATCTACAAATTACCAGTAATCAGGCTCCCATTCAAAACCATTGCAACAAAAGTTCAATGGGCTTTTTCTAACAGCGATCTGGTTTTTAAACAAAGCAGTAATTCTACCCGGTGAGACTTAGTAAAGTTAATGGTCTCTTCTAGGTCGAAGGTGTATAGATCTACAATGCACAAATCTCTAATTGAGTGAAATTGGTTGAAAGATAAAGGAAATGACCACTGCAGTTCTGCAAGTCATTTGGTATACCTTTGATTCGGTTCGCAGCTGTTCTCGCTTCTAAGTTGATTCATTAAAGTCTGTACATCAGGCCTTTACAGCCTATAGTCTGTGCGTCTCCGCGTCCTCGGTAACCTGCGATTGCAGCAATTTCCCCTCTATGAGGATGTTTTTCGACTGGTTATTTAGTAGGTAGTTATTTTCCCCAAGGGTGGAATGCACGCCTTTTCGCTTGGTATTTGGTCACCCATCACAGTACTTTGTTTTGCAGCCTTCCTCGTTTTCAGCTGCGTTTGTTTCAAGGATCTTTTTTATTTCTCTGTTGACTTTCCCAGCTTCACTTTTGTGTTCCTTACTGGAGCCACTACCCGTTATGTCGCAGTGTGAACCACTCGATTCTTAGTTACATTAACCGTCAACCTCCGTCTACGCCTGATTTTTGTGATTCCCGATAATATTCCTTACTTAGTCAGCCTCTGTTTTTTTTGGGTTAATCACGTGTATTACTGCTTGTGGAAACTAGGGCTGAGAGACTCAGATTACCCATACGAGCGTGATCGGTTTCGACGCGAGTGTGCTGCCATCCCGTTTCACACCTTTTGGTTCAGCTATTTGGTACTGATGAAACGGAATCACTGTCTCGATGTGCTATCGAACCTGAGAGCTATAATTAGAAAACCTAGAATGCATGGCACAGGTTCGGGCTTAGTCCGTCATCAAGTGCTGTTGATCATCCGTAAATCGCACGATAAATGTAGATCTACTGGTGCGACGCGTGTGGTCGTGCACTACCCTAGTACCACTATTATGCCCGTACGACCTCTCAAACGAACGTTGACGTCACCTTCATGTTTCCTTTTTCAGGCAAAGAAGAAACCGTTGAACGTGAAGAAACTGTCTGACTTCGGTGTTGAGTTGACCCCACACATTGAAATTCTCAAGGTGGAAGACCCCCCGGTGCGTGTTCCAGGAATCAAGGTAGACTCTGTAGAAACGCTAGTGGCCAAATTGAAAGAGAAGGGTGTTTTGCCTTCGAAGAAATGACTGCACTACTTTGTTCTATCTTATCTTTCTATACTTTTGATTGGTTGATTTACTGTCCCGAATGTTCTATTTCATTAGATGACATGTCACACTGAAGATATTCTTTTTCCAGTTCTTTCAGCCCAGTGGTGGTAAGATTGCAAGTTATCGGTTTTGCGGCTGTCATCCGTAGGAGGATGACACAAACCTATGTACGGTTACTTTGCTGAGAATAGGACAGCCATCATAACCACCAGATCCATAAGTTAGTGTCCGCCAGGAATGCCCTTATACTCGTTACCGCGCTTCATCGAAGAGTTGAGGTCTTCGGTTACCTTTAGCTCGCCTGCAGAAGCGGTGCCAGTACCTCTGTTGTGATCAGAAAGCTACTTGTGTCATACGGGGAAGCTTCCTAGGGATCTGATGCGAGCGACATCTCCGGTACTAATTTAGTATGGTCTGTACGCTTTGTAAATCCACAAGCTGGTGTAGGGCAGAGGGGGGAGTTGGAGCTACAACCATGGCCATCGGACCCAGAAGTAAATTTCATTCACTGGATCTTGGCAATATTACCAGTGGTCTTCATGATTCCCATTTCCACATTCCCATCTGGTTTAACCCACCCGAGGCGATTTGGCCCTTATCGCATGCAAATGGGCAAAGGTGAGGATTTCCTCGAATGAAGACCAGATACCGGGGACCTGCTTCATGCGAACCAGTCAGGGCTGCCACCCTCCAAATGCCGTATCATACAGTTTCAGATTTACCAGGCGATATCGCTCAATTCGGAACACCTCCTCTTAGGAAATATGACTTATCCTACCTTTTCGGTTTGCTACAGAAGCCCCACGAAAGCGAGCAGCTTGGCCACATTGGGACACTTCATTCTTGTGTTGATTCCTCCCGTATCAGTAGACGGATTTTGTCAATAGTGTTTGCTAACAAGTGTGTAAAGAATAAATTTCCAGCTGTGAGATCCTTTCGATGGATAGATGCCGTGCATCACGAAAGAAGCGCGAGAGCTGCCCAGAGTAGACAAGCAACCGGAAAACCAGGGTTCGGTTCGAAACACTGACACTTTCACAAGCAGCTTGGAACGCCGATCGCCGAGTTAGTTAGGGCTGCAAGCACCGTCGTAACTTCGTTTATGGAAAAATTATCCGGCATCTGAGGCACATTGCTCGCCTATCGAGGTGCTCTCCGCACCAGGTTAATCTATCTGAATGGATGGATCGGATGTCCGGTGCGTTGTTTCTGGGTGGTCGGCAGGGTTTGTAACTGTACCCGGAATTCATGTTCCAGATTCTTGCACACCGTTGTCTGATGCATACTAGCGGGACGCTGTGGCCTTCGCGTTGGCCGCTAGCCTGACGTCATTGATCTCTACGAACGAGTAGTTTTTGTACCACCTGGTTGAATTTGAACAACACTGTAATCAAAGATAATCTATCATGTTCATAACGGCGAAAAAACAGTTGTCCGTAAGCGTCTGATTACTGTGCAGCTCTTCATTCCCGGTTCAAAATTCACCTTGTCTACTGCAACTTTGAAGGATTTCAACATACGGTGCCCTAAGCTAAATTACTAGCCAAGTGTAATAAGAAAGTGCCCATCGACGCGTGTCGCCAGTGCTTTTCATGCCAAGCCTTTGACGTGACCCGCGGCTAGTCAATCTGGTTCCATTATATGGTGACTATGTGCTAGTTTTCATTGTTTGGGAGACTGGAATTTCGCTCTTCGGTTCTGGAGAGGATTTCTCCATGTAGAACCTGCGCTGACGAGAGTGCCGTACGGCAGTTTTTACGTATTCCGTGGCCTGACATTTAGCAGTCATATGATTGTACGACCTACCTAGACTGATATGCTCTATAACTTATTGTTGTGGATTATGAGAACAGGCCGATCTTATAGGCTAGTCGCAGGTAACAAATTACTGGGTGATTGATAGTCTTGTTTTGGGACTGAAAAACGAACTGTCGTATAAGAAAACGGCCTTTCTCCAGTCTTCCACTAACCGTGGGAAGTAATCATGTCGTCGGTTGACGATGGGAAGCTTACCAACCAGTAGATGGGGACATTCTAATAGACGGACGCAACCAGATTAGTGGTTAGAGCGCGGACCGTAGGGTCCATAGTTCGAATCCGACCTCTGCCTCTCGAATTCCCCTGCCTAGGCTTGGGCAACCTGGCAGTATCCCAGCCCTCGTGCCTCCTCCGGGTGGTACGGCAGCTAGTCGCCGGAAGGGTGTGGCAGCTGAACGACGCAACCAGATGGTTACCTCAACGAGTCACATCGAACTGTCGACATGGGTCACATGATAACCAGTCATGAAGTTAGTAAACGCACTGCTCCAAACAGTATCCTTCTTTCGTACTAGTAAAAAATACTGGTAAATTTGTTCAGTCTGGCCAGCAATAGATCATTTTGCATGGATCCACCCTAAAACTGAGCTTCATCTATATTGAAAATTTCTACAAATAAACGTATCGGCTCCTTCTAAAGGTCGAGCAGAAAACTCAGCACGAGGTACCTGTTCCCCAGATTGATCACAACAATAAAACGGAACTGTTGGTATGAAGAATTCGACTCTGGGTCGCATCAACTGATGCATGTCCCGGATCGGACGCCTGTATGATCTGAAAGGGGGTTGGGAGTCATGTTTTGCCAGCGGTTGATTGTGAGCGACGACGTGAAAATCATTTTGGTGGTTGAAACTACCGGTCCGAACTTTATCACCTTGAAGTGCGAACGTGAGGAAAGGTACTGAGCAGTCTAACACAAAATGGACCCGCCCACGATGCCAGTGAAATAAGCAAAGCAAAACAGAACACGTATCCAACATCATATATAAACATGATCCGAGGCCTAAGTAAAAATTATAAAGGGTAAGGGAGCCAAGTTAATAGAAAAATACCCGCCAGTTATAAAACGACTGGCGGACAAAGGAAACATCCCAATATGTCACAATAAATAAAAGCGAAATTCTGCGGCCCTGAGATTTGCTAAAAGAATAATCACAATAAACATGGAACCGACCAAAGTCCGCGTTGTGAATAAAAATGCGGGAAAACAAACAAGGCACCTGCCAATTCACTGTGGTAGATACGAAGTTATCTGGCTAGAGCAGGTGGTCATGGAGGCATTTGGAGCAGATGTTGAGGCCACCATTCCAAATGGTGAAAAATTGGACGACGAAATGTCTTGGTCATAGCTAGAACAAACTTGTTCACCGGATCCTGAGAAAAGAATCTCGGGAATAGTTACTCGATAATTCGGATCAAATGGTATTCCCCGGAGCATGCATATCTCGCGTTTTAGTGCGAATATTTGGGCTTGAAGAAACATATTTGACTTCTCCAAATATGCTGCCCGTAAAGCAATCGTATCTTCGCGCCTCTTTCGATTGTCTCTTGAGCGTTTGGCCGCCAGGTTGTTGCGCAGCCGCCGCTGCAGGTATCGATCATCTCGGTTGGTCCCAGGTTCTTCAACTGAAGAATTGGAGCTGGTTCCTCTGACGTCGACCGGACAGTCTTTCGTGCTCAATGAAAGAGGAGACTCCGAACCAAGTGAATATGAATTCCTGCTACGTTGGTTACTGAGCGAATCTACGCTAGTGTCAGGATGCACTTTCTCTCTACTGTCTGTGCTGATCAAAGTCTCAGAGGGTTCAACAAAGGCAGCACGGCAATCTGGTGGGCAGTGTGATGATGAGGCTAAGGTTTGTGAAGTCAATGAAAGGCAAGTATTGGACAAACCAGCAGAAACTGGTGAACAATTGATTTCAAAGTTTTTAGGTGATCCCGACTCCTCGAACATGTCGTATGTCACAGGAATATGATACAAATGGGGATGCGGGTAATTCTTGTGAGTAGATGATTGTATGAGTGGAAGACACCCTTCAAAAGAGTAAAATTTGCTCTGAAAAAGTATATCCTTACCTGACTGGCCCAGGCGAGTGGTATCGTGGATAATCCCAAAAAGTGATTCCATCCACACAAAAACGATAAATGCAAAGAGTAATCACCTGAGGGATAAGAGCCCGCTGCAATAGACAAAGAGCAAAGTTCAGCGTTCACAGTTAATATCTATCTAGCATTCCTGTCTTAATCTAGCACGGTGTGGTATAATAATGTGTTACAGGAAGGAAGACATACACTGACTCTCCTTCAGATAGGACATCCAAAGGATAGACTAAACCATTCTCCTGTATCGGGATCACTCTCGAAAAGTGTTTTGGTCTTCATTACTATGAGTTATCAAAACCCACCATTGCATCTAGGGTGGTCTGCCTCACTAAGGAATGGTTTCTGAACATTATTCAATTGTTGTTTCATGGAGCTTAAATCCGATCAAAAGAACCAAGTACCGGTATTCGCACACATCTAGCGGCAAAGTTCAGAGCAGCTTGGTCTTTCTCATCGTTTCTACTGACCCCCACCTCTCCGAATTTATGATAAATAAATAAATCCAGTTTGCTCCATCGCATTGGAAAACCCTTTCTTCTATGGCACGCTTTCGGCGTGCTTTCATATTACCCGAAGGAAGCATGAGGATTAGGATATTACCAGGTCGCCTGATCCTAGAGAGAGGAAGCCGAGATGCAGAGGTCGGGTTCGAACCAGGTTCGACCTTCCAGTCAGTAAGTTCGCGCTCTAACCACAAGCATCTCGTGTGAGAACAACATCGTCACTGAGCGCGAGTGTGAACCATACTAGGGAAATCTCCAAACACTCATTGTCCTCCGTCATTCTGCTCTTGCGAGGGGCGCGTCACCGCAACTCAGCATTGCTTACATGTAGCTTGGCGCGAATGCGAATTTTCGTGAGCAACAATGATTGAACTTCGACAATCGCCAGCTGTCGTCCAGCCAAAAAGGACAGCTTTCTCATCTAACTGCCCCGACTGGCTTGCTGTACACCCGTCCTCGTAAGAGGAGTTTAACGAAGCTTCTCTTCCCTAAATATTGCCGGCCAAAAAAGCCACCACTTTCTTTGCTATCCGAGCTCTAAACTTGGGACGAATGAGCCATTAGCTGGTACGCAATTCACTAACTACACGGAACAACTAAACAACCATTTTCTAGGGTCAAAGAAATTTACGACCCTCACCTGCACCAGCACTCCGAACTTTGTGCGTGCATCACACTCTGTGTCGACGAACCTCAATCTTCAACCTCTCCGGGAGATGTGCATTCACACTGTTTTCGTCTACACGGCGCTCCTCCTATCTTAGCGCACACACGAAAGAAGGGTTCCTGTTAAAGATTAAAAGAAGCGCATACCATTGTCCCTGTTTGGATTTCTACCTCAGAAACCTAACATTCGAATGGAGGGATTCGGCAGAAGTCAACGGCATCCAACTCTAGTTAATCACAGAATCTAACAGAGTGTAAGCTTGATAGATGGTCATAGCTCATCAAATCACTCAAAAGTGGGACTGAAAAGGACGTCAGTCTGCGAGCTTCCCGGGGTGGCCAGCCATATTAATTTTGTCACATAAGCCCAACATGGTTGGTGCATCCGATTTTCACGAGAGTGCATGTTTGCCATCGCGCACACCATTGCATGAGTGCATCAAGGCTGTGTGATTTACGTTTGTACCGCCAGGGCGCCAAGACCTATATAGGAGGACTATTAAGGTCCACAACCAACGCATTTGGCTGATCGCAAGGCAGCGGTGGTTGGTGTAAGACAGTCAAAACAGTCTGAACTCTTAGGAGCAAGTCGCCACACTCGTTCCAACACCCAACCTGAGGAGTGCACTAATCAGACGTACGTCCATTGGCTAGCCTTGCATGAGAGACTGCTATCGTCACATCATGCACATGGTGCCCTGTGTCAATTACTCGGCAAGGGCGGCTTGCGCAGGTACATAGAATGCACCAAAAAGGGACTTACTCGGTATTGGCAACCGGATGGCGTAAAATACTGTACACAGCACAGCATAGTCCCGCGTGAACCCCACTGTCCACTGTTAACGGTTCACGAGGACTCGAGATAAGATAGGATTTCCACTTCAGTCGGTTTTTCACCGAACAAGCCTCAGCACATGCCTTAAAGGTGTTGTAATGCGTATCCGTTCAGGTTGTGGTTGTTGGTGAGGCTTTTTGGCCCACCTAGACAATGCTGGTCATAAGCGGACAGTCCATAAGTGGAACAAACCAGTTAACAATACTTTAAATAGTTGATTCCCGGTCGATGGTTCCTCCGGTGTTCCCTTTGAAGGTCTTCCAGTGGACTATACGAAGCCATTCTTTCGTGTGAAGACTCCCCTAGAGAGGAGTGGTTGTAATCGACCAATTCACATCTTAGTAGCGATAGCGTCAAGCTTTAACCCCAATGCAGTTGTCGATTGTCAAAGCCAACACTGCAGTGTTGCGGATAGAGTACCGCTGTAAACTGACAAGTGTCGTCCGCAAAAACTTAAATAAGCTCACTATCAACTGGTCATTAAATCCGAATCAATTAGTTGCCATGATTTTACTTAGTTGAACTCCCTTGGAGATACTGCAAGATATGGCTGGTAGTCGATGACAGTGTGTTGTGACTTCCTGAACAGTAGCGCAAGCCTGTGTCGGTCCGTGGCTTCCTGCTCCGCTCATTATGGCATATCAAAAGGCATGATAGCTTCGGACAGCACTTTCTGGAAACAAAGGAAGATTTTTACAACTGCATTTATAGGGTAGTCACAGAATGTACCACAAGATCGTGCCAGAATTCCTGGTAGGGTGCGATAAGCCTCAAGCTAATGATGCTCGGTCAGGGCATGCCTTTGTTTGGTCCGTCCAGTTGATGTGCTGTTCGGTTATCAGGTGCGGCTGGCCTCTGGACAACCCCCCCCCCACCCTGAGAAAGCCGTTCAGTCGATGGGGGCTTTGAACTTAATTGTAGCGACTCACGGAGATGCTGTCGCATGTCAGGCCGCCACCGGGGTTGTAAGCATGCCGATATGGGACTTCGTACTCTCCAATTCGGAGGTATATCATGTCTCTCTGGTGTCCCATGAGACGTGATTCCCACACGGAATCGTATGTTGTTGTCTGAAGTTGGTTCCCTTGATGTGGCCGTGCTTACGAGCGGATTTGTGCGTGTTTGACGTAAGAGGCATCCCCGCGTCTATCGTCGAGTGCACTTCCCATATCATCGAATCAGTATCTGGCCTGTATGACTGTTGCGGCATCCCTTCTGTCGGCCCCTTTCTTAACTTTCCGGATAGCAGTGGGACGATCCGCATGAACCCGGGGCTACAAATTGTGTGGTTCGGGACGCGGGTGAAACGTCGCAGGTTGCCGGAGAGATTCACCAAAATGGACTGGAGTAAGAGGGTCACCGGAGCCCGACGCCAGGAGCTGAATAGACGCTGTGTCGCGTATGATCCCTCTGGTCTCCGGTTTGGCAGTAGCTGGCGAAAACGAAATCGTCAGGATGGGATGTTTTCGTAAACGTATTGCAGTCATATGCAGCCGTTTCGTTACAACCAACATTGAGGGGTTGGTCCACGAGTTGAATCTCATTAGTCCAATCGAGGCACAGGAGATCAAGGCCTCTATAGTTCGAGGTAGCAAGTGTAATTAAGTTGAATCCCCATGAACGTTACTCAACAGTTCAGCTTCCCGGTCAGTTTGAGGCTTCCACCAGATGCACTACGGACGGTGCACTCTGTGCGTTTCACTGGTGGCCTTCTAACGACATCCCAGGTTCGTTTTGAACCTTTATCAATGTGGAGTGTAACCCGTGTGCCATTGATACATTCTGACGAATTTTTATCGACCGGGTGATGTCATCCTGAATTTAGCGGTTATGGCTCCAGCGTGTGTTTTCTTTTGGGGTCGGTGCCTGAGTGAGTCCCTGAAATTGACTCTGCGGCATTCTTCCTTGTGACCTTTTTGACTGCACTTGCTACACCCATGGTTCTGATAAGGACAGTGGCGTGAATAAAACCGTTCTTCACAAAAAAAACAGGATTTCCAGGAGTTTGTTTAGAATTTGATGGTCTTTTGGAAGTTAATTTGTATACTATGTCAGGTTGAGAGAATTCGGAATGTCCAATCATTGCAGCATCAGTCTTGAGAGTGATGAGATGCTGGCACTCGGTGGTATGTTTCTGAAGCGTCAACTCTGGATCCTGTTCAATTCGATTTAACAGCCGGGTCCGAATACCTGCATCATGTGGCGATTGAAGAACAGCCACGAAGATGAAACACTTGAATTGATTCTCGGTCATCGAGTTAAGCCGAAAGTGTTCGCATTCTCTGTTGACCACACCGGCATGGGTGATGAAATCTTCAGTATCCGTTTTTCTAATCTTTAGACACTAGTAATATTAAACGGAGGATTTGGATGACCGAATATTTGGGCCACGATTTTGACAGCATCTGCGAAACTAAGGTCACGAGGGAGTTTGGGGAGTGCGAAATCGGTGAAGGGATCATGTTTACCTACCCCCAGTTTCCGCAGCAACAGCATCAAGCTGAACAAAGTCTATTTGAAACATGTCCTCATATTTCTTAAACTGACCTTCAAAAGTTCGTCCAGATCCAGCATGGAAATGGAATTTACTAAGCGAGCTGGCAGCAGCATCTATGGCTCCGTACGGAGCCCGGACGGTTTATGTCGCATCCATCGATATACTGACCATCAGGGATTCCACAAACCCTATTTGAGCTTCTTCAAACTGCTTCTGTTGCTGTTGTAAAACCATTCCGAGTTGCTCTGCGGAAACTGATACCATGCGTTCGGTTTCGCCAGTTATTGTGACTTGTTGAACGGCCGTGCAAACCTGTGTCGGTCCTTGGCTTCCAGATCCGCCACTATGGT